CTAAGGCACACGAGAAGGTGTTGGAAGCTGAACTAAGTCTTTAGGTCCCTGCCAGCCACATGGGAGGAGTTCCGGTCTCCTGGCTTCAGCATGGACCTAACCCTGACTGTGTGGACATTTGGGGAATAGACTAGTAGGCAGATGATCATTCATTCATATTCTCTCTCTTTTCCCCCTTTCCATACTTCCTTCCTCCCTGTCTTACCCTCTCTGTCACTCTGCCTGAAAAAAAGTAAGTTTTTAAAAAATACATATTTGTTAACTTTGCCTTAAAAATATTAAGGGGGGAGGAGTTTGATCTTTCATTGTCTGGTTCCCTCCCCAAATGGTTGTACCAGCCAGGGCTGGGCCAGGCTAAGCCTGGCACTCCATCCTGAGTCCTCCACTTGGGTGTCACGGGCCTAAGTACTCGAGCCATTCCCTGCTCCTTTCCCAGGTGATTCAGCAGGCAGCTAAAACTTGAACTGGTGCTCACATGGGATGCTGGTGTTACGGGCAGTAACTGAACCTGCTGTGCCACGATGCCAGCCCCAAATTCAAGTTTCTCACTTAACAACTTAGAAAAAAATATATAAGATAAAATAAACTCAAAACAACAAAAGGACATGAATATCAGAAATGAATGAAAACAAGGAAACAGCAAAAGGAAAAAAAATGGTAAATTGAAAGCTGATCCTTTGGTGAAAAAAAATCAGTAAAATTAAGCCCAACAACTGTGGAAACAGAGGCGCAAAAGACACATCTCCACTAAGTGAAATGGGGCATCTGCTGTTGTTCAAAATCTGCCACCTTTTTAGAGAATAAAGGGAAACCACAGACAACATCGAGCTCCCAAATCACACTGGGTAGGAAAAAGTGAAAGATTGTATGACCATGTAAGTTGATGCAGGAAAAAAAAAAATTGAAACAAAAAAACCCAACACCCCTTCATACCAAACGTTCCCAGCTAAAGAGCACCAGAGGCCATCTTCCTTTGTGGTCGTGGAAGACCAAACCCAGAGGGAACTGTAGCGAAACACTGGTGCACACACGTGCCCATATGGTATCTTGGCGGATGTAAGGCAAGGACTTTAACCACTAGGCTACTGAGCCTTGCCCAATTTTAACTTATATTTAAGAGTATGATCTATATTACATTTTTATGTGTGGTGTGAAATAAGGCTCAAATCCCATTTTTTTCTAAATGGATTTTCCTTTTTCTAATTGGCCACTTTATGAATTTATGAAAGCAAAATAGGTATACTTTTGGGTTCTCTATAAAATACTAGCAGTATTTACAGTAGTCTCATGCTGTGTTAGTCTAGAGTTTTTTGTAAGTCTTGGAATTGGGTACAGTAAGTCCTTCACTCAAAATAGTCAGAAAATATCTAGAATTGCTGTGTTTTCTTTTTAAAACAGATTTATTTATTCACATCTTTATTTTACTTACTTGAAAGGAGAGGGACAGAGAGAAAGATCATCTGTGACCTATTTTACTGCCTAGGTGGGGTTGGGCCAGGCCCAGAGCAGAAGGCAGGAGCTTCCTCTGGGTTTCCCACATGGATGCAGGAGCCCAAGCCCTGAGACCATCTCCCTACTCAGCTCAGGCCGTTACAAAAGAGCTGGTTTAGCAATGAAGCAACGGGGACACAAACCAGCACCTATGTGGGGTGCCAGCCAGTATCACCACAATGCCAGCCCCAAATGCTCGGTGTTTTCATATAAATTAAAAATATATATACTTGGTGTGATTACACTCGGTGGTAATATAGCTCAGGTCCCTTTGAAGGGATGTGTGTATTCGCATATTCTGGATTAAGCCATCCAGTTGCTAAGCATGGCAATGCCCCTGCAGTCACTTAGGTCTCCTTTATTGATAGTATGATGTCATTTTCAGTGCACACGTTTTGCTAGCCTGATTTATTCACTGGTAGTTCTAATTTGGTAGATTCCTTAGGATGCTCTACATAAACAATTTGGTGTTGTATAAACAGAGACGATCCAGCTTACTCTGATCTGCGTGCCTGTTGTTCCTCGGGTCTTCTTGCGCTGGCCGGGACCCAACGTGGTGCTGGGCAGCAGAGCCAGGGCAGGCAGCTTTGCCTTGTACCCAGGGGGCTGTATATTTCACTATTGTGCCTTTAAGTACCTTCCAGCAACCAGACTTTTCCAGTGGCTGCGTGGGTTGGCAGTCTCCTTCCCTTCCAGACTTCTTTGGGAATTTTCATTATGAATGGCTCTCATGAAAAAAAGAGACATGCATGGATTTCAAGTTTTTGCACTAAAATAAGCTTAGGTTTCAATTTCATTTTCCATGGACTTTTTCAAGTGCCCCCATCCATCTGTGTGTGTGTGTGTACAGCGTTTCTCTTATAGATGGCAGTTTGGGGCATCCCTTTTGGTATCTCCCTGTCATTTCTCACCGTTCGATTGTTCAGACCCTGGGCATTCTGCCGGATCTGCCGTTTCCCATTTGTTCTCTGCAGGTCCCCTCTGGGTTCTTGGTTGTCGTCCTTGCTCTCGCATTTCTCGTTTTGCCCTTTTCTTTTCATTGTATTCGCTTACTTGTGCCTTTTAGGGGTTTTCATTCATTTCCATTCCTTTAGCTTTCAACAACTTGATGTTGAGTAATTTTTTCCCTTCATCACGTGAGTTCTCCAGAGCATTGTATTTATGTCAATGTTCTAATTTTTTCCTTAACCAGTCTTGGATATTGGAAAGAAAGTAAGGAAGGTGGGGCTGGCACAGTGGCCTAGCATGCTAATCCTCTGCCTATGGTGCCAGCATCCCATATGGATGCCAGTCCTTGGACCCCTGTGACCTTATAGGGGACGCAGAAGAGGCTCCTATCTTCAGGCTTTGGATTGGTTTGGCTCTAGTCATTGTGGCCATTTTAGGGTATAAAACAGTAAATGGAAGATCTCTCTTTCCTCTCTGTAAAGCTGCCTTTCAAATTTAAAAAAAAAGTAAGTTTTTTTTTTTTAAGATTTATTTTTATTGCGTAGGGAGGTCTACAGAGAGAAGGAGAGACAGACACATCTATTCACTTGTTCGCTCCTCAAATGGATACAAAGACCAGAGTTGAGCCCATCTGAAGGCAAGAGCCAGGAGCTTTTTTGGGGTCTCCCATGTGGGTACAGGGTCCCAAGGACTAGGGCCATCATCGACTTCTCTTCCAGGCCACAGACAGGGAACTGGATGGAAAGTGGAGCAGCTGGGACATGAACTGGCACCCACATGGGAATCCCAGTGCTTGAAGGGGGAGGATTTACCAATCAAGCCATTGTGCTGAGCCCAAAATCAAGTAAATCTTTACAAAAAAGGAAAGTAAGGAAGAAATTAAGGCAAAAGCTTTTCTTAAATATGAATCAAGATCTCGACGGTTGCTCTTTTTGCTGCCAAGAACTGGAGGTTGTATGTGGGAGCATGTCCCCTTGCTCAGCTTGTTGGTGATGTCCGGTAACGATGATGCGATGCTTCCGGTTTCCGTCATTGATGTGGTCTGTCTTCTGCCCTCCATCTTGGCCGATAGCTTTATTTGGCATGGACAGTTCTGGGTTCAAATCACGTTGAAGGCTCTTACTCACTAGCCTTAACAGGCCCCACTCCACCATCTTGGAGCCTCCATTGTAAATGTCAAATGCCCCCGGGGGCTGGAGTGAGGGTGCAGCAGGCTGAGCCACACTGCTCGGATAAACCCACAGCCCTTATGGGAGTGTGTGGGTTTGAGGCCTGGCCACTCACACTCCTATCCAGGTGCCTGGGAAAGCAGCAGCAGAAGGCCCAAGGGTGTGGGTGCCAGCCACCCCTGTGGAAGACAGAGCAACTCCTGGCTTTAGCCTGGCCTAGCACCTGGCTTTGACACATCTGGGGAGTGAAGTGGGAGATGGAAGATCTCTCTCTCATCTCTCTCTGTTTCTACCATTGCCTCTTCAGCAATCTTTTTGTTTGTTTGTTTCCATTCGGCTCTGTTAACAGTCTTTTCTCTGCAGAATGGCCAGTGTGTCCTTAGCAGTTTGTCAGTGTGGAGTTTATGGGCATTTTGAATGTCACATTTTTTTAAGTATGTTTGTTTGTTTTGAACAAAAGCAGGCACTTGGTCCTCCTCTGCTTCTTTCCCAGACTCATTAGTAGGGAGCTGGATCAGAAGTGGAGCAGCTGGCATCCCACAGGAGCTCCGGTTTCAGTCCCAGCTTCTCTACAGTCCCTATGACACTGCAGATGGCAGCTCCATGTGCTGCACTATGGTGCCAGCCCTGAGCGATTCTGTTTTTGTGCAGTGGTTCCTATAACTAGAAATTAAATTTGACTCTTTTTTTTTAGATTTTGTATTAATCCTTTCTTTAAAAATTTTATTTATTTATTGGAAAGTCAGATATACAGAGAGGAGGAGAGACAGAGAGGAAGATCTTCCCTCCGAGGATTCACTCCCCAAGTGAGCACAACGGCCGATGCTATGCTGATCTGAAGCCAGGATCCAGGAACTACTTCCGGGTATCCCATGTGGGTACAGGGTCCCAAGTCTTTGGGCTGTCCTCAACTGCTTTCCCGGGCCACAGGCAGGGAGCTGGAAGGGAAGTGGGGCTGCCGGGATTAGAACCGGCACCCATATGGGATCCCGGGCGTTCAAGGTGAGAACTTTAGCTGCTAGGCCATGCCGCTGGGCCCAAATTAGACTTTTAAAGTAAGATTTTAATAATGTTAGAGAACTTTGGCTGTTGAATTTTCTTAAATCGGGACATATCTTCTGTTGCTGTCCCAGGTGCATTAGCTGGGACCTTGGATGTGAAGTGGAGCAACCGGGCCTCAAACCAGCGCTCACATGTCGGATGCCAGCATCCCAAGTGGCAACTTAACCTTCTGCGCCACAACAGGGGCTCCAATCATGTGGTTTAAAACACTCTTCTTTCGTAACTTGAGGAAGTTTCACAAAACAAACAAAACAAAAACAAACAAAAAACCCAAAACTTTTTTTTAATCTTTGCAAATGATAAGAAATATGTTGGCTTTTGTCTTTACAGATTAACAAGCAGAGAGAAGACATAGAGAGGAGAAAGCCGGAGAGCCTGGCCTTCAAGGTTTGTCTTTACATGTTCTCATATTCTCTCTGTGTGTCTTTGAAGACAGGTGAGCGTTAATCCACAGGGATGAGGGAGCTAGCTGCAGGTGGCGAGTAGGTACCAGTGAGGGAGCTGGGAGCTTGTAGAGTGCCCCTCCCCCCATCTTCTGTTCCTCACTTCCCTCCTTCCTGCATGCCAAGGCCAAGCTACCCTGATGTGCTGCTCCCCGGAACAGATCCCGTCACGTTGTCCCATAGAAACCAGGGTCCATGCAGAGGGAATGGAGAAATGAGCCCAGCCCACAGACAGGAGTGCAGCCAGTGGGGCCAGTGCTGGCAGCACAGTGGGATCCGCACCCTCCCCGCAGGCAGGACTTCCGTGGGCAGCCCTAGTTGCAGCTAAGGGAGAGAGAAGGGGCAGAAAGGGGCACGGATGTGGAGAGGCAGCTGAGGGTGACAATGTTATTTTTATTTGTCTGTGTGCCAGAGCATGCGATCCATCAAGGGGAAAGAAACCACTTCTCTCCTGCGGCAGAAAGAAACCTTCATCTCCTTGTTTCCGCCCTCCTCTTCCTCCGCTGTCGCTGCTGTTGCTGCCGCCGCTGTAGCTGCGGCCGCTGCTGCCACCTCAACCATCGCCTCCTCCAGAGGATCAAGCCAGGCTCACTCTGTCTCCTTCAGCGAATCAGTGAAGAAGAAGAAAACCAAGTCTGCCAAGAGATTGTCCAAGGAGGGCCGACGCTCCGCGGTAAGGATGGTTCACCTGACCATAACATGACCGTTTCACCTGCCGTGTCCAGCAGTGGCCTCCACCCAGGCAGGCTCACGTGCAGGGCACCCCTCTATTTGCCCAGGAGGACGCCAGCCTCCCCTGCAAAGCCTGGCGCTTGTCTGCTGTAGTCACCTAGTCGTAACAGGTGCCTGTCCACTGTTGTGTAGCATCTGGTGTTTCTAGCTGGCGGCTGTCACCCACAACCAGACTGAATCACACTGTCATTGGGCCGGAGGGGTGGGCAAGGGAGAGGGGGGCTGTGTAAAGGAATCATAAGGGTTCATGGTGGGCTGGGTGTGGCCATGTTAGAAGTGCCTTCCTTGAAGGAGTTTCGTAGAGGACACCTTCCCCTGTTCTCTGTTGGCTAAGGGGGTTGATGCCTCTGTTTACCAGCCACTTGGGGGAGAGTCCAGGCACCTTTTCCAGGTTGACAGCTACTAAAAAGCTTAGCATCCCATCAGGGGATATGGATGAAGGGTCTTGAGAAAGTTCTAGAAAGATGTATAGTGAAAAAAAAATTCTGCATAAATTTCAGAAACTGTTTCAATTCCAACTCTTTGAAATTCCCTGGTAGGGTTGGTATAAAAGACTTTGCAGAAATTCTGTCCACCCTTTACTCCTTTGATTCCGTTTCTTTTTTGTCTGTTTGTTTGTAAGACATATTTATTTGAAAGGCAGAGTTACAGAGAGAGGGAGGGAGAGAGACAGAGTGCGAGCTTCCATCTGCTGGTTCTTTCTCTAAATGTTGACAACTACTGGAACTGGGCTGGTGGGAAGCAAGCATCCAGGAGCTCCTTGGGGTCTTTCATGTGGGCACAGGGGCTCGAGCCCTTGGCTGCTCTCCGGGTGCACAGAGAGCTGAATCAGGCTGTGGAGCATCCAGGACATGAATTGGTACCCACATGGGATGCTGGCATCCCAGGATGCAGTGTATTTATCTGCAGTCCCAGCTCCCAATTTGATCCTGTTTCTACAAGTTCCTGTGACAGAATCTGCCACTGTATCTATTCATGAAGCAGAGAGACACAGAGAAAGACAGAGGCAGCCAGAGAAAGAGCTGCTTCCTCTCCACTTCCCAAATGCCCTTAATGGCCAGGCCTGAGGCAGGGCCTCCCCCCAAAAGGGGTGGGAGGCAGGAGTTTAAGCAGGGTCTGTTAGGTTGGTAGCCTCTGGGACCCATGGGCTGAAGCCACTGCTGCTGCTGGCTCCAGGTTGCATGTGAGCAGGAGGGTGGAGTTGGGTGCTGGGAGCCAGAGATGGCCAAGCAACCCCGAGAATGTGCCTCTTCAGTGCTGGGCCTTGAGGAGCGGAAGCGAGGCATACGCTCTGTGTACATCTGTGCTCCGGCTTCCAGGGACAGGAAAGGTACCGGGCTCAGGCATGGCAGCTGGGTCAGGCCCCACCCAGTGCAGGTGGCTATTCTAGTGGGAATCAGACCCGCGGAAAGGGTGTAGTCCTCTCGAAGAGCTCCACTCTGCAGGGGAAGGATCCGTACCTGGAAACTGGGGCGGCTTCGAAGAGAGCAAGCCCAGGGAGGGCAGCTCTTTCATAACTGACCAGGGAGTCCATTCTGGAAGTCAGGCCTTCATCATCCAGATCTTGCCAAGTCTTTCTTTCTTACTCTGTCACCTTTTTTTTTTTTAAATATATATTTATTTATCAATTTCTGTTGGAAACACAGATCAGATTTACCAACAGGAGAGAAAGATCTTCTACCCACTTTGTTCACTCCCTAAATGGCCACAGTGACTGGAGCTGAGCTTATCTGAAGCCAGAAACCAGGAGCCTCTTCTGGCTCTCCCACGTGCTGCAGGGTATGAAGACTTTAGGCCATCCTCGACTGCTTTCTCAGGCCACAAGCAGGAATGGGGAGTGAAACAGCCAGGACATGGACCGGTGCCCATATGGGATCCCGGTGCATGCGAGGTGAGGATTTTGTCACTGAGCCATCATTCCGGGCCTAGAAAGTGTTTCTTATTGTCCTACATAGCACACACATGGGCACATACTCACACTCACTTTCTTACACACCCCTACACCACTCACACACAAACACACACGGATACATGCTCACACATAAACTCAAACATGCGTGGACACACGCACACACTGAGTCCCACATGCAGTCACGTACCCATGCACACATTCAGACATGCACACCCACACACGCCCACAGTCACACCCACATACACAGTCACACACGAATCTCACACGTATACACTCACCCATGCACAATCACTTCCTCGTGCTCGTCTCAGGCACACGTACCCACACCCACACAGACACAGTGATGTACGCTCTGCCCAGGGTGGGCAGTGTGTTTCCTGCTGCCCTAGATGAGGGCACCAGCTGCCTGGGGAGTGCTTGGGGCAGCGGGGAAGGGTGTGTCCATGGTCCCTCTCCTTCCAGAAGGCTGACTCAGCTGTCCTGAGGTCAGTCACATAGCGGGGGGCCTGTGGGCCGAGCTGTGAGGTCACAGCAGGAGGGATGGCAGAGGCAGGCCAGCAGCTGAGCAGTCCACAGGCAGGTCCCAGCAGCAGGGGGCAGTGGCTGCAGGAAACCCCCCTCTGGCCCCCACAGCAATCCCAGCCTGAGAGGCTGTCCCCTGAATCTCCCAGTCTCCCCTTCTCACTGTAACGATCCCCTCCTGGAAGTTTCCAGGCCTTCCTAGTGCCCTTTTGTCAGCTGGAGAGATAATGAAGTTAATGTTTAACAGGAAGTCCAAAAATCCTGGACCAAGGGAGAGGGGCAGGGAGGGGATGGGGCGATGACGTCATCTGGAGTTTCAGTCTTTGTACTCACCCGCTCCGCTTTTAAGTGTCACACGCCCTTCTAGCTCACTGTCATGGCCACCGCCACCTACCTACAGTTTGGCTGTTACTACTGATAAGCCGCCAGCTGCTCGTGCACCCTGTGTCTCGTGTCTTCACCATGCATTCACTCTGCATACGTGCACCCTGGTCCCCAGTGCTCCTGCTGCTCTGTGAACTGCTCAGCTACCCGGAAGGGAGCCGGCCCTCATAAAATTAGTCTTTAAAGGCCTTGATAATATTTACCACATGCAAAAACGGACGGAAAGGAGAGCTTGCGTCGGGAGCTGATGCAGGCCCCCGTTTGACATCAGTCATTGCACTTATCTCATTAATCATACTTATTTTCTGAAATCTGTGTCATTCGGTGGGAACAGCACACATGCTACACACAGCACTGCACACATCGACAAACCCGAGTGTTTGGCCAGTCCCAGAGCCCCGATAGGGACCCGCTGCCGTTGGATTTCTATTCCTGAAAGATTTCACAACATAAAAATGTCTGTTGGCACAGCCCTGTTGTGTAAAGTTTATTTTCCGATATCCGGCAAACATTTTAAACACCACGGTTACCCAGATCAAGGTTAAATCAGATTCCAGGGTTTCCTCCACCCCCCGCCCCCCTGCCGCCTTCTCTCCCTCCCCCACACCCTGTGCCGCCCTGAGTAATTAGTTCATTAAGTTTGCACCCAGTAGATGCTGACCTGGGAGACTGTGCCGGCTTCCATGGGGTAACGTGGTGCATGCTGAAGGAACATATGGTGGGTGCTGGGAGCCACAGACAGCATCGGGGCTTTCAGTGTGGGAAGTGGGGCATGGGGCCAAGACAGTCCTGGCCACGCAGAACAATGGGTGCAGAGAAAAGCCTTGCGTGAACTGCGTGCTCATTTTCTTTTCTTTCTTTTTAACATCTGAGAATCGTTAGGTAAAATAACTTTGTAGTCTTTTTTTTTTTTTTTGATGAGGCCATAGTCATGCTATCAGCTCATCCTTTTTAAAAAAATGGTTCTTGCAAGCTTAGATATGAATAGTTATAGACTAACTGAATGAAGGGGAAATGGAATGGAGAAATTAGTTTTGGTGCAAAAAAAAAAATTGGAAATCCTTGGGTTGTGGTTTTCTTTTGTTGTTGTTATTCTAATAGGGATTTTCCACAAACTTTTCTAAACACTCATATATGCATAGATTTTAAAACTGTTGGGCCTCCAAATGAACTTTTCATTCCATTCTCCAGGAGCTTGAAAAAATGCCCACCCACAAAGCCGTGTGTGTGGTTCCATTGTCATGACACGGGCAATGAATTGGATCAGAGCAGGAGATGGTATGAGCTTTGTCCCCCCTTGTGGCTGCCCTAGCCTGGGCTGATGACACGCATGGGGTCACAGCAGCTCTGTAGACAGGCAGCCCAGTGCCAGTCTTGCTCTGTCAGCCCTGGGTTGGATAGATGTGGCCCATGGGGATATTCATTCAGAGCCGTCAGTAACACATTGGTTACTTTGTAACACCAAGTAGCTTTAAAATGTAGAGATCATTTGAAATTGCCCACAAACCACTTGCTAGATTTTAAAATCCAAAACGGCAATTACCATGCAAATGAATTAATCCTTAGGGCCTGCCTTCAGAGACAGAAACTGAGAAAAAAAAAATCAAAGTCATATTTAAAATTCAGCTGCCAGGCCAGGGAACAGTACCCACTGGCGTACAGTTGGCACAGGTCAGGGGCAGACCAGGCTAGGCCAGTTCACATCACCCACTGGTAAATCTGAGTGCCAGAATGGATATGGGTTGGATCGGGTTGGGTCACAGCACATGCCAGTATGTATTAGGACTGGGACTGGGTGCCAGCTGGGCTGGGCTAGGCTATAGCCCCCACCAGCATGAGCTAGAATTGGGTGTGGGCCAGGCCAGGCTACAGCACTCACTGGCAAATACCGAGGTGAGGTGGGTCATGACAAACCAGGCTGCAGCACCCAACCAGTACAGGTGGGAAGGGTGGGTGAGGGAGCAAAGCCAGTAGGGGTGCTGCATGGGGCGCCCCTGCTGGACCACCACTCCCACTGGAGAGCGTGAGTTGGGATGGAGGCAGACCAAATTGTTAGCCTCATGTGAGCTGGATCAGGGAAAAGCCGGGTTGGGTTGACTCTTCCTGCTGGTGCAAGCATAAGT